ATGTTAGCTAGGTCTGGTGGGAAAAAATCTCTGGAGAGCCATGAGTCGCCCCCCCCCCCCCTTTATCTTCTGTGTTTGCTGCAAAAAGACCTGGGTTGTAACGGCTTCCTTAGCATTGAGGACTTTGTAATTTTAGGATGCACTAGTTTCGAAGCAGCTGATGGGCTGTTACAAACTCATATGAGTGTTGGTGTTCAAGGGGGTCCTGAAGTTCAAAATAAAGTTATCTTTTGGCCTACTCCAGTCCGCTGATGAATGCAAAACTTACATTCTGGGTTAGATATTATGATAAACAGCCGCTGGGAAAGTGGTGCTTTTATTCTTCCCCTTGCTCTTGTACTGAAGAAGACATAAAGGGAAATGTATAAGCCTAATATTGGACATAAGTAAAATCCTGCCGAGCTCCATTTGCGCCATTTCAGTTGAATTAAAAAAAAACTTTTGACAGAGACTCATCTAAATACTTGCTTAATTACATAAGGTCCACAGATGTTAATTAAATACCTTATACGAGAAAAGAAGTGTTTCCCAACCTTTTCCCAACTGTGATGCAAACTTGTTTCTTTTCTGTGACTCCCAGGGACCTCCAGGATATGCCAAGGAAGCCATAGATGAAAAATAATGTATTTACAAATGAAATATAACTACCTTTCTACCAGTAAAACAGGCAGACCACATGGCTAAGAAACACTGTTCTAAACCAGGTCTGCATAACCTGTGGCTCTCCAGGTGTTAGGGATGCCCAACTCCCAGAAGCCCTAGCCAGCTTGTCCAAGGGTCAGGAATTCTGGGACTAAAGTCCAAAACACTTGGAGGGCCACAGGGTCAGGAATTCTGGGACTAAAGTCCAAAACACTTGTGCAAGTCTGATGTAAACAATACATTATGGAGTCCAAAATAAATATTTGGGTTGAACAATTATCCCCCCCCCCACCTGTTTCTGTGGTGTGGGCTGGCTTGGTATAAAGATCCTGGCTTGCATTAAACCAGAGTAATCATTTGATGCTGGCTTATATTCTAATCTCAAACGAGGCCCAGTGGCTCAAATCTCCTAAAAATTATGGCTTAGTGAATCGCCAGGTCCTTGCACTAATGCTGGAAGGCACTGAGATAAGAGGAAGGAGTGAAGGCACTTCATGCCCCACATTTGTTTCCCTCTTCACAAACTGTGATTCTCGAAGATTCCAGTGAGTGATTGATATTGTATTTCCTTGTCTCATCACCCATCCATTTCATTCTACTGACTAGAAGGTGAACTCTTTTGCAGAATTACGGTCTTTAAATAAAAGTTGGGGAAATATGCTCCACTTCATTTTGTATTTAAGCTTTCAAAATCTTTCTTGAATATTCTGAAATGTAAAGTGTCCATATTTTCATACCCATAGGATAAGCCATTCAATCTTCTATGTGGTTAAACCCTTGTGCTGGCAGGACTGCTGATCGTTAGGGAGAGTGGGTTGAGATCCCTCAGTTAGCGGGGACATGAGAGAAGCCTCCCACAAGGATGGAAAACATCAAACATCCAAGCGTCCCCTGGGCAACATCCTTGCAGATAGCCAATTCTCTCACACCAGTCGCTCCTGACACACACAAATAAATCTCATATCAACATGACAAAATCCATGTACCAAACATTTTTTACATTGCCCAAGTTGTAGTTCAGTAAAGAACACAACAGTGATAGAAAATGTAAGGGAAACGGAGGAAACTAAAGATTTTGACAGGCCTAAGAGTCATAATTTTAGAAGACAATTTTCCAATTCATTAATACCCCAAAATTGGTTTAGTTTGGAAGAGCAGGTATAATTCATGTTTCCTACATGAATGCAGTCTTCTCAATCTAGAATGCATGAATTAGCTTTTAAAAACATTAGATCTCTTTTCTCTAGAGAATAAACTTTAAGATGCTGCTTGTATTGTTGTCAGTTAATATTTGGATGAAGTGAAAATTCTCCATTGTATAATGACACAGATTCATTTCTCTACAAGGGCAGAGAAGACATTCCAGGCCAGTTCTGACAAGCAAGCCCTTAAGAATTTTAACACTCTAATGATTTTATGATTCTCCCTCTTCTTTTTTTCAAATTTATTATCTTGAGAAGCTGAAAGAAGGCATAAAAGAATGAAGTGATGTGAAGTCCAACATGAAGCAACATTTTTCTTCTTTACTTAGCCATAATAATCAAGGACTCCAAAGTTATTTTTGTTAGTTTCAGTGTAAGAATTTGCTGTATGGAACGCCTGCCCACTGACTGGATTGCCAAGGTGACATTAAAAACATGTTTCATTGCACAGACTTTTATTGGGAACGAATCATATTCATCCGGATCTGGAACATGAACATGTAATTGTAAAACTAATATTCTATCATTATATAGCCATAAGATTGTTCATATAAAAGTACCAAAATGCAAATAGGATATAAAAGGATATGGCCAAATACAGAACTATATGCAATGGTAGATAACTAATCTTTCACTTTGTAATGCTTAGGATGAAATTATTAAGAAAAAGAGGACAATCTTACATTTGCTATTTCTTGTTAGGTATCTGAATTAGATGAGATAATGTTTTTGAAGTGTAACCAAGTGCTTCTTCATGACTAAAAGTTCAAAATCTAGGTTATTATTCTTTTGCCAAGAAGCTTGGACATCATTTGAGAAACAATTGTCAATTTTTTTCACATAAAGGATGTTGGGTATACTTTCACATGATTTACTGTGACCAATTAATAAACACAATTCCCAAACAAAAGTCTGTAGAATGTGTTTTTATATCACCACTTATCAAAATTGTAAATGTATTAATTCAATCAAAGCTTAAACATTTAAAAATAAGTTGTTCTTTGCTTGATACTTCTGACTTGGAATAGAAGCAACCCTAACCTCTAAATTACAGTCACTTTTATGCTCTGGTGCAGTGATGGCTGGTGACTTTAATGATGGGGTGATGAACCCAACTGTTTTTTTTTTCTGGTGAACTTTACAGGGACTATCCAAACTGCTGAATTTATTTGGATAGTTCCATTAAAACACTGACTGAAACCTGCAGTCTTACTGGCTATCAGACAGCATTGTTATAATAACATGCATTGCAAAGACAAGAGTCCACATTAAGGTCATCCACATTAAGGTTGAGCCATCAAATCAGTTTGGTCTTTTGCAAATTTCTTTTTTTTACCATAGCCATGTATTTTAATTGCCCAAATATATACGGCTAAGCTTGAAGAAGAATCCATTTTGGACAATCAAATTTTGAGATCACTCTACCCCACATTTGCAGAAATGTTGCTTGCAACAAACTACAAAATAACCACAGTACAATCAATATGCACTGAGAGTTCTAACATGGATTCCAACAGAATAAAAGTGCTATGCATACACAAACATGCTAATTCTTGACATGTGGCATAAGAATTTCTACCAATTTCTATGATTGTCCAGTTGCAGTTTCTCATAACTGATTTTTTTTCTTTTTTGACTCCTGAATTTTATGGTTAGATTGAAGGCGCCCATAAATAAATTCCTTGAAAAAGAGAAATCTGATAATCTGTGCTTATAATTTTATTGTTGTAACTCATTTGAATTTAGCAATAAAATTAAGGTCCTACAACACAATGCATAAACATGAATAGATTGGCATTTCTTTGACCAAGCATTCTGGCTATTTTATCCAGATCCTCTTCCTGTCCCACTTTCCTAGTGTGCTCAAAAATGACCTGTTCACAGAACAGCCAGATCATTAAATGCTCTTATTTGTAGCAGAGTTTCTCTTTTATGACCAAACAAGCAACCATATCCAGAAATCTCAGATAATTCATAGTGTACAATATTGGGTTCATTCTTAAATCAGGAAACTGCCAGACTCCAGCATTTCCACTTTGCAACATCCATTTTAGCTGTTCTTTTTAGTTTGCCTGAGAAGAGAAAGTTTCTATAAATTATGTTGTATCAGTCTATATTTAGAGCATTTATTACTTCTCCCCCCCTTCTAAATCTTTCAGAGAATCTCTCCTGTCTACTACTCTTCTCTCAGCCTGCCACTTGGTTGGTGAGTTTATTGGTCCTGGGAAATGATATGACACAATCCAATGGACAGCAGCCTTCTTAAACGTTTGTATTTATTTCATTCTCCTCCCTCTTCCACTTTCATATAATTCCTTGTATAGTTTTAAAGATTCATGGGCAATCTCTTAGAGCTGCCCCCTCCCCTATATGCCAGACCTCACTCCATTCATTTTTTTGGGCCAACGCAGCAAAAATACATTTTATCACAAGAAAGAGGAAGTCATTTTTGCGACTGCATTTATATCCCTTTTCATGGCAACACTAACTCTTTCCTTTGAACAGTTCCCAGTACTTGGGTGAGCATAAAGCATTCAATGATACTCCCAGGGGAAAGGCTTAGATTAGTGTTCTTGCAACAACTAGTTCATGATCAGAATTAGCCAAAGCAGATTTTTGATATGGAAACGTAATTGGATCTACCATTTCTGTTCCCATATGACAAGAATCAAAAGCAATGAAACAACAACATTTTGACAAGGATCAAAGAGTTTATCTTCTGCTTTTGTACAAATTTAAATGAATAAATGAAGGTCTGATATTTTCTTTGTCTTAAATACTGTAATTAAACGGGCTACTTAGTAGTGTAAATGATCTCAGTGGCAATACAGCTTCTGTCATAAATGACATAAATGATCCTTGTTTTCCACCATACTATTCTGGAACCTTCCTAAAAACTCAGCAGGAAGATTAATAGAAAGGTAAATGTGTTTTTTAAAGGAAATAACTTCCTATGTACAGTAAAAAAAATCTTTACAAAGGTGTCACACCCTGGAAATAACAGTAATAAAAAATAACAGATAAGATGTAGTTTTGGTTCAGTGTGGAATTTCTTTGATCACGAGCAAAGCTACACATATAGTGTGGTGAGCATTACATAGGCAGTTAGATGACAACAGAAAAGATTAAATAGAAATATATATCAAAATGTCTTACTGCGGCTTGTCGATGCGTGTTGGAGAGGATCCCATGAATCTTCACTTTATCTTTCTCCATTTTGTCTATGTTCACCCATAGATCACGACTGATAGAATCAGATGGGCCAAAGGTCCGAGAAGTATAGTAATTGTGATCCACATCTTCCTGTGGGGGAAAAGCCCCAAACAGTTAAGCCATCGCTATGATTTCCTGTATGCGTTTTAACTGTTTCAAAACACAAGATTTGTTTCCTGCAAAACCTCCAAAGTTAACTTGACCAAAGTGGAAAAAAAGATAACACTGATCATTTTATTATATGAATTCTAAAACAGAGAACACATCAGTAACTGTGCTTGTGACACATTTGATTTTACAATCCAATTTTTGCTTTCTAAGACCTGGAAAAAGAAACCATTGCAAATGCAAAAAGAAATGTAACGTCTAAGTAACGGCCAGTAAATCTTCTGTGACAACTGCTGTTTCTGTAAGTATGGAAAGATTTTTTTTTAAAAAGCTTATAATCTGTGCTGTGTTTCAGTTTCATTTTTATACTGATCATCATTTTTATTAGAATACCCCCATTTAATAATAAAAACTGCTATTTGATACCAGCTTTGCAGCAGAAATCTAATTTATAAGAGTATTGAATATTTCCATGTTTGCTTCTTTCATTGGGAAAAACCTGAGCTGTATAGAACAATCTTTATGAAAGCTGTTTCATACTTGAGTTTCCTTCTCTTTGATTATCTTTTGCATATTCCCTTCAGACCATATTTTACACATTAACTTTAAATTAGACCTTCAGGCTAATATTTCAAGGTCCTGAAATATAAAAACAAATACTGAGCCCTTATATAACTTCTCCCCCTCTTCATAAACCTTTTGTTTGAATTACCATCTACAATGTGAAATAGATGCTGTTCTTGTCTATGTCATTAATATGTTGAATTCTGCAACACCTGAACACACATATTTTATCTTAATTGAGAACTGAGAAATGATGATTACTAGCTTTGGAAAGAGATGGCTTCTTAAACTGAGTTTGAAATTGGTTTGGGCTCCTGACTTGTTCAGTCTTTAGTAATTGCAATTTCCTTGCTCAGTCAAAATCGAAAACTTTATAATATGAAATGTGCAGAGAAGAAGGAGATTATATGCATGACTCTATCTTTGTATCCCAATTTATGAAACCAACCCACAATAATCTGAACATGGCCACACTCACTTAGCACATTCCAATCTTCCTTCAATACCAGTCCAGAGGATGTGTATCTAGTGTTGTCCATGTCTATATATAACAGTCCTAAAGGGCCTCTAGCTATCCCATCTCTCTCATTTTTACCTCAAAAAATTGACAGTACCTCTGAAAACCTTCTCCGATTTCCTATCTATTTTCAAAATTTTAAGAATCTTAGCAGCAATGGTTTAATGCTCTTTCATTTTACACCTTTTCTTTTCAATCCCAGCATTCTTTGTGATAGTATCTAAGAGAGCTTCCGTTCTACAACTTTAACCAAGTTCTAGGAAATCTGGCACCCCATCTACAATGCGGTTTCAGAGTACTGTTTGGCAGCCTTGAACTGGGTTATATGGCAGTTATGGTGCAGTTTAGACTGAAATAATCCAGTAACCAAGATTCCACTAAGTTTTAACCATTTACCTTTTACTTTCTTTTGCTTTGAAATTTTCCTCTTTGAAATTTCAACTTGAAAGTTGAAATGAGTCACTGAAACATAGATAATAACTCGGAGAGCAAAAAGGGGTTTCCACAGCTTGGGAGAGTCAACAATATGGATCTCTCCCTTATACTTAACACATACCTGAAAAGGTTGTGTCAGACAGTCTTCTTTATAGCTTGAGCAATATTTAGACCAAGGCTTCTGTGATGGCCAGGAGAGCCTTGGCATATTTAAAACGTATGCGTTAACTGCATAATTTCAGATCTGGTCAAGGTGATACATCCCTTAGTTACATCCTGTTTGGATTACTGTAACAGGCTCTATGTGGAGCCACCTTTGAAGCATGTTCTGAAACTTCCGCTGGTCCAATGAGCTGAGGCTAGATTGTTAACCAGGGCTGGCTACACAATTCGAGTGGCTGGCAGTTTGTTTCTGATTATACTGGTTATGACCTATAAACTCTGATTTCAAGCATTTCAAATAAGGGATATTCAACCTATACAGAAACCTGGACAACAGTCCCAAACATTGCCAAACGCTGAGGCATTTATCATGACTTCCTGATGAATTGTGGCTGCCCCTTTTTGTTTCTAGCAAGCATTGCATTTGGAATTTCAACTTGAAACCTGGCACTGCAGCCTGGACAATAACAATGACACTGTCACATTCTGAGGCATCTGTTATGATGTCCTGATGAGCTGTGGCCATATTATTATTATTACTATTATTATTATTATTATTATTATTATTATTATTATTATTATTATTATTATTATTCTGACACAAAACACAGTATGACACAGGAAACGAGATATATATGCTGGATTTCGTGTCACAAAATCACAAGTCAAGCCTAAACAGATTATAGGAAAGGGATAGACAATTATTTGTCCATTTTCTATTTCAATTTCAACTGATCTTCAATATCTAGTAAGGGATCAAAAACTTTTCTACTTATATTCTCTGAAACTCAAATGCCCACATTAGCAGTGTACAGGATACAAACTCAAGTTAAATGTATTGCTTTATAAAAGCATGCTTTAAGTGACACCTTGATGCATGTGTTCCTTTTAAAAACTGGTAAATCAAAGGGTTTAATTATAGGCTCTAGCTCTTCAATCTAGGTGAGATGGGCATGTCTGTAATTCTTGAAAAATATTGCCTTTGTTTTTGGATAAGCACACTGGATCCTGTTACAATTTAAGCATCATAGATTCATGTGTTACTACAGAAAGAATAACACTTCTTTAACAAATAGTGTATGAGAAATTTTCTATGCTTCTATAAGGAATAATTTGTCAACATCCTAATTGGCATTTTCAGGAAGAAAAAAACTGCTATGAAAGAAAGAAAACTATACCCATACATATATCACATCGTAAAACACTGCATTTTGTTTAAGGCATGTTTTCTTAAGCGAGAAGAAAATTTGACAATTGAAAGGTTATTTTTCCATTTATCAGAGAGCACAATCTTTTGATGCACTAAGGAACAGCACCTGCAGAAGGAGAAATCCATGCAGGGATTTATGTAGTACTGTTACAGAGTTTGGGAAAATTACTTTTTTGGATCACAATTCCTAGAAATCTTTAGTCAATGTATTGTCGAAGGCTTTCATGGCTGGAATCACTGGGTTGTTGTAGGTTTCCATGTTCTAGAGGCATTCTCTCCTGATGTTTTGCCTGCATCTATGGCAAGCATCCTCAGAGGTAGTGAGGTCACCTCACTACCTCTGAGGATGCCTGCCATAGATGCAGGCGAAACGTCAGGAGAGAATGCCTCTAGAATATGGCCATATAGCCCGAAAAAACCTATAACAACCCAATCTTTAGTCAATATGATCACTAGTGTTGGCGGAGTGGGGAATCTTCAAAGTAACTTTTTCCAAGAGGGAGCAGGAAATCTCACTGATTTCATATCCTTCTGTTCTCACAACTTTTTATAAATTACTCAAGAATCAGATTCCTGAACAAATATATGCTACTCATGAAATAAGGAAAAATTATATTCTTCTTAATCTACCATTTCTTTAGAAGTTAATATGCTGATGGATTATCCCAAATTGAACAATGACCAGGGCCAAAGCCTTCCTTGGTAGTCAGGGAAGCTCATTTTTGGGCCATGTCCCACAAGGACATACAAAGTTTCTTTATATTGTTAGTTTGGTAGTTACTCTTCCCATTACTATCTCTTCAAGTGACTTCTGAAAACTGGAAATCTTCTGATGCCAGAACTAAAATTCTGCTTTAAACAGATGAAACATGCTCTGTCACTAAACTGCAGCCTCTTGCAATCATTATTATTCAATTACATATTGATGCAGAATAGAAAATGTGTTGGGGAATATTTGTTGTCAGACTGTAACCGCCATGATCCCTCTCCATTGACTATGATGGTAAGTCTGCTGGACTTGCAATCCCAACATGCTCTTAATATCTAGAGGACTTCATTTAAAAACAAGGGATTACACTAGTAATCATGCCTTGGCTTGCATTCAAACTGTATTCATAATAGAACAGACCCGCATGAATTCTTTACAATTAAATTCCCATTAATTCCAGCAAATATAAATGGTCACTCACAATGGGAAGACTGTAACATGGTGAAAAAAATTGCTTTTACATATTATTTGAGAATAAATATACCACAAGGATATGAAAGTTCATTTTTAAAGGTTTATTATTATTAAGCAATTGGGCTCTCAAAACAGCTTATGAAAAAGTATATAATTCTGCAATAAGACATCTAAAATAAGAGACAGTGAAAACTTCAACCACAGAAACTGAGTCAACTGGAAAGATATATGAGTATGACCTAATTTTGATAACGTTGAATGCAAACAATAATACAGTCTTACCAAATGACATTATGTTGAACTTACATTGAACACCTGGAGCATTTTCTTCAAAGGCCAAGGAGTCATACTTTGTTAAACAGGGCATAAACTAATCCATTAGAAATCCTTCTGTGCTTGATCACCCAAGTAGTAATATTGTCTAAGTACAATAAATAGTCCACTCCTTACTTTGCCTCTATATCTGGAAGTCCAAGTTAGACAACACACAAAATTCATACCATATAGAAATCTGCTCCCTATAATTGCTGGATACAGATTTGATTTAATGGTCTATCCAAATGGGAAGACTGTAGTGTAGTGAAAAATTTAACTTTCACATATGTCTTGTGCACAACTGTGCCACCAGGGTTTTCTGAAAATATGAAATACTTCTGCTTCATTTTTCATGGCGACTTCTCTTCTATTGTATATCTAAAATTAATTTCACACTGTTTTAAGCAAGAGTGCTGCATGATGGTCCACAAACATAAAAAATGAATCCTATGTCTGATTTCATTTTCCAGCAGTGAATGTGATGGAAATGAATAAGAGCTGTGCATTTTTGTAGCTTTGTCAATGGAGAAGGACCATAGCACTGAAGTTACACAATGCATAATGGAAACGAATTCCTGCCTTGGGGATATACTGCA